TGGTTACTGGTTCTGTTGGGTCGTGTTTTGATGTTTGGCCCTGCCTGATCTGATGAAGACATTGTCTCAGGCTGCCACGGATGCAGCTGAAAGAAGCAGCTCATGATTCAAATGCAAACAGGTCGTGCCTGCCAGGTTGTAGTGCACCATCAGCGTGCGCGTTCTCTTCCTCAGGAGGGCGAGCAGTTGTAGCTTTGATAGACTAGCGCCAAGCACTGGATCGTCCTAGTTGTTTCCTTCTGATTGGGACCGCTTGAAAGTGGGTGGTTCGTTCTGAATGGGGGCAGCATTGTCCATCAATGTTCCGGTTGGAACATTCCTAAGCTTTATGCCCCATGAAAGGGATTGCGCTTGAGCAACTGCAACTTCTGTTTTGATGCTTCTCATTGCTGCCCTAACTGTACGATTCGAAGCTTGCCAACTTCCTTATCCTCTAATCCATGAACCTTGCTTCATCGTCCATGTGGGTTTGTCTCAAAATTTGGGAACGCCCAAAGTGATGGTTTTCCTTCTGGCTTCCCTGTAACACAACCCAAAGGGGTTTCCCACAAAAACAGTTTTTCAAATGCTGCTGTCAAAACAACGGAATGGGAAGAACACAATGAAGGCCCCCTTTCAATACCCCCAAGTCGGCATGCAACCATCCCAAAGGGGGTGATAGGCACCAGGATCGTTCCGATTCAGCTAGGTTAGCCCTGGTCGAGACGGAGGCGGGTCTGCTTTTGGCTCCGCGTTGGGCGTGGCGTCGTAGGGTGTCCCAAATTGGTTTTCCTTTGAACATGTCCGCGACCCACAAATACCTACAGAAGGTACATTGAGCAATCGCACATTCAAGTGCTATGGGAGCCAACCGCGTATCAAGATCCCGCATCCCAATTCGTGAACATGTGCCTTTCGGTACGTATCAAGCTTGGATTCTTGCTGATTCATGTTAAGCAGAGCCCACTTGGGTCCCTGGTTTCGGCCATTCCCACTCATGGAAATCATGATTTGCTGTGAGTTCTACGTAGAGCCTAAAGAAACAACTCCCAGTCTGTGGAGGCGCCCTTGGTGAGGTGTGACATGTGATTTGCTCGCACATCCTAAGGCAAACCAATGATTTAATGATGTGGATAACCTGCTGCTGGTAATTACGCAGCTGCTTTACGATGCTTTACTTGCATGGTTTTGGGGAGCCAAGAGTGACGCTCTTATTTCACCGTTGCTCCCCTGCAGCCCCCTCTCAAGCAGACGCACGATTCTACAGGTTCCCATTTCTGACATTTGGAAACATTTGGAGAAATTTGGGGTAGACTCACGTTCCAAAATGTTTGCAAAGCCGATATACTCCGCATAAGGGGCTCAAGTCAATGTCATCAACTTACCGTTGGCATCATTCCAACTGTTGGTTTCGTCGCCGCCTACTTTTACCCTGGGGTATAGTGATCCCACCTTCCCGGCGACGCGATGTTAAACAAAGTCCAAAACCTGCTGAGTGCGCCTTATCTTGCGGATGGCAATTTCGCACAGCTTGCTAAACACGTGTCACAAGTCACCATGGTTGCAAATGGAATAAGTATATATATTTTTGCATAGTCACAGATGGAAGAACCTGGGGGTTTGCTGGGAGGCCCTCGCAGCCCTCTCGGTGCCCTCAGCGGCGGTCTCTGGGTCCAAGGCGGGTAACAGACTCTTTCTGGGGTGCGATTTTCTATGTAAGTAGTGTTCCTGAAAATCTGGAAAATTGGTGCCGGAGTCGCTCGCTCGCTCTTTGAGAGCTGGGAATTCAATGGAATTCAGGGCCCACCGGTCTGCGACGTCTTCGCATATACCAGTTCTGTGGCAAGTCGTTGAATATCCGCCGCATCGCACTTCATGTGCACACTCCATAGAGAACACCTCGCGTCCCAGTGCCCGAGGATAGCTTGCTCTTCATATTCAATGGGTCAAAAGATGACCCCCGCTATGACTTCGTCGCGCGTGTTTGGGCCATTGGAGTTCAATATGTATCTGGGCAAATGATCCGTAATCACACATGAAACGAGGAATCTCCAAGACAAGCATTCATGAAGACTACTTTGAAGGGGGTCGGCGAAGTTCAACCCGGCAGTTTGCCACCAATGCAAGTTCCTTTTAGAGGTTATGTTGGGCTGGTGAATTATTGCGTGCCCCATTGCCAGTTGGATCCTTAGAGTGTCCCACTGGGGTGGCTGTGATGTAACTGTTCTCGTTGCATAGTTTTGTGTTGGCTGTTCTTTCAGATGTATTCTATGTGGAAAAGCTCATTGACAGAGTTGTTGGCTCAGGCCTGGTGACAGTTTCATAGGAACCCGCAAGAACTCTGCGGAAGGTATGCCCCTTGTCGAATCTCCTGATTTGAGTGCCAAAGGGGGGCTGTTCTGGTGGTTTCCTCTGTGAGCACCCTCTAAAGGCAGAAAGTGTGAAAGTGTCCTAAGAATCACACCCAAGTTGCTCGTAAACAAAATCACCCTGGTTTACCGAGAACCCAAACGGTCCCCCT